CCATGTCTCATCTGCCCACCCAGGACGAGTGCTCCGGTCATCTTACAGGAGAGGTTGAAGCTCAGGGAAGGTTGGGGCTCCCTGGTCACGAGCCAGGACTGCACCCACGGGTGACCGGGCTGACTCCGAAGGCCCTGGCCTTTCCACCAAGGCAGCGATGCTTGCTTGTGTCACCAGAAAGTCCCTGACGGGAAACGCTGGAGAATGGCCCGTGACCTCCGGGGCTCTGAGCGCCCCCTTGTCCCGCCCTTCCACCTTGGCAGCCCCGGCTGGTGCAGCACTTCCTAGGGCAGACTTCCCCGCGCCAGCAGCCAGGCCATGGCGCCCTCCTGGACTCCACAGCAACCTTCCCTTCTGGGATGGGCCTTAGCTGGTTGTGCCTTCAGGGATGGGCGTTTTGACACGGGGACAGGTAAGCTGGAGGTGGCGCATACTCCAGGCCCGGCCAGCTGTGCGTCAGCCACAGAAAGCACCGTGTGTGGGCCACCAGCCTAAGTGCAGGCACTGCCTGAGGAGGGCGCTAGGACATGCTGTTTCCTTTTTAAAAATATTTCAATTTACTTCAAAATTTGCTATAGGGCATGTGTGCTCATCAGAGAGGAGAGAGAAAGAGACAGGGAAAGTGAGAAGCCAGCTGCCATGTGCAGGACTTCAACTGCACTGTGCCACCTGCTGTCCCCGCGAGTGACATGTTTGAGCCGGTCCGGGCTAGCAAGAGGCAAACTAAAACTCAGATCTGTATTTTTTTTAAATAATCATTTTATTATTTTTAACTTGACCAGAGAGAGAGAGAAGGGGAAAGTGAGAAAGCAAGCTGCCAGGTTCGGGACTCGAACTGTGGTCAGCCATGTGGGAGTCCAGCACCTTAACCACCACACTACCTGCTGGCCCCAAGATCTGGTTTTGATTCCTGCACTCTTTTTATTACCCGCTTGGCTTTCTAGCAGGATAGAGGGGGCCGGGGGCTTTCAAAGTCCCTGAAGTGGGTTGCTGCTGCCAAAGGGCACCGTGCCCCGGGCGGGGACTGGCTATGCCCCGGGCCGGGCCTGGCAGTGCCTGGCCTTGGGCGGGCAGCCAGCACTGCACGCTCCCAGCAGCAGGTGGCGCTGTGGGCAAGGGAACCATTACCCGTCCTCATTCTCCGAGCGCCAGGAATCTTGGACTGCACGTGTCCACCTGGGTACACCTGCCCTCTAAGCTTGTCTTTAAATTCTGGTCTTTTGGTTCCTCATGGATTTCTGGTTTCTTTTTTCTACTTGCTATAGAATGTGTGAGCTTGCCAGAGAGAGCGAGGGACAGGGAAGTGAGAAATCACCCGCCGGGGGACGGCCACGCCGCATCCCTTCTCCACTCTCCTCAGGACGTGGAGCATGCACACATGTGCACTGTGTGTTTTTCAGGCTGCTGGGTCGGGGACTCAGACTGCACCGTTGGCCACTTGGACGTGGAGCATGCACACATGTGCACTGTGTGTTCTTCAGGCTCCTGGGTCGGGGACTCAGACTGCACCATTGGCCACTTGGGACCCAGCGCCTCACCCACCATGCCACCTCTGGCCCCTGTCCGGGT